CCGCTCTGTGCCAACCATGGTGGTGCTTCGTGGGAGTCGGGAACTCTAAGTTTATCAGGCTGGCTCCCTAAGTGACGGCCAAGTTGTGGTATCTACATAAACATACTATGCAAGTACTGTACTTAACTGAAGGTTCAGTCTATCTACAGCATAATGTAATGCTGTATATCCAAAAATCTGTTTCAGAAAATGCAGGGAATTGCAGTCATAGGGGTAGAAAAATGCAAACATTTTCTGGGGGAGAAAACCCCAGACCCTCTCGCAGGGGGGGGGGGAGCTGGCGGGCTGCAGCCCCCCAATAATTTGCTAATAATCATTCATTTTTCAAAATCATGCAGACCTTTATTATTTAATCCATGACAAACTGCAAAGAATGAAGATATTACCCATACTTTCCTGCAACTTATCCAATATATCGTTGATTAAATACACCTTCGTCCATTTAGTACTACTGAATTCTAAATTTCCACATACTAAAAACGCCGTTTTCTGACAATCAGAAATCTGTCAAATCTTCCCCAAAGTCCAGGAAATGGCATTTCAGAGATTCTAAATTTAAAAATTTCCTCGGGCCTTCGGCCCTCGCTTTCACCCCCCCCCCCCAAACGAAAAGAGCTTCCTACGGCCTGCTCTCCCCCCCTACTATTAAATGCGATACCACACCAAACTTTTTGTTACCAACAAACCATCTATCATTGCTCCACACTCGGTATAGTATGGTCCCTTTTTGTAGATGGCCCCCCCACTTACGAATTCTTAAAAAATGCCCTGAGCAAAGTACAAGTAGTCTTGAAAAAAAATTCGTGCAGAGGTTAAATGCATTTAAAAAAATTCCTGCAGAGACATGAGACTGAAAAAAGAATTCGTGCCGCAAAAATTTTATACCCCCCCTCCCGGGATTTCTAATGGTCCGCCCCTTATTTTAAACCTCTAGAAGTACTTTTAGTACTCTAGTACCTTTTGTCACTCTGAGGCCAGCGAAATAACCTCTTCCGCAACATGCACGTACCCGTCTACTATCGTCAAGAAACAATCAATACGAATAATCGTTGTGGTCTGTGGGATTTTAATTCAATAGTGTAAACCTTGCAGTTTTAGGGAAGCCTCACATATCGATTTTTTCCACAAGAAACGTCATATGTTCGTTTTGAGGGTGGGGGAGGGGGGGTTACAGCTGTGACGTTTCTCTGTAAATATCATGGTCTTCATGGCGGCAGGTACAAAACGCAGGTTGCAGGTTGCAGGTTGCAGGTTGGAATTTTGCAGGTTGCGAATTTTGCAGGTTGGAATTTTGCAGGTTGGGGATTTTGCAGGTTGGAATTTTGCAGGTTGCCAGGAACTTTGCAGGTTGATAATGCAAACTTAAAATTACACCACTTTTTTAGTATTCTAGTATAATTTAGTTGTGCATTTATTGCAGTCTGACTCCTTGTCGGCGCCTCTGCTCTAAGGCTAGTGGCCATCACCCCCGTGAAAACATTCAAAATGACCAGATTGGCTTGGACCTACGGGGAGACGAATGCAGGGGCGTAGGAACCGGGGGGGGCAGGAGGGGCCTGCCCCAAGTTTTGCCAAGTGCCTTTTTCCGGGAGCAAAGTGCCCTTTTTTTGCGTTAAAAATGTTTTAAGGATTGCCTTTTTTTGCCTACCCTGGTTGCCAGAGGTTCTGTATCTTTCGCCTTATTCCCGCTCGTATTTATTTTACGCGAGGCGAAGAGAACTTCTGGTGGCACGCGATACAAATCTCTCTTCCTTTGGTACAAAATTTGTACCAAGCACATGATTGGTTAGTTATAATTAGCAGTCACATGAAGTGATGTGATTGGCTAGACAAAAAAAACTGTTTATAAATCTCAGAGAACATGATGTAAACAAAATACAGAAATAATACGAACGTATTAAAATGCTTTACTTGGTGTAGGTTTATATTTGAGATTAACTTATACTTTGTTCCGCTATAAAAAGATTTTCTGCGCTGGAGAAGAGCTGCCATCGCGGCATGACTTGAGTTGACGGCATGACATGTTCACTCAGTTACAGTATTAATATTTGTAAAATATAAAGTGTTGGTCACTTGCTTTATATCGTTCAAAGTTTTAAATTTTGGTAATTCTTCGACTTTAATAGTTATTAATATGATTTATTTTGCCAATATTTTCCCGTTGTCTGTTAAGGAAACGTAGCTACATACTGGCTCCGTTGCACATATATATAAATATTTATATATTTATATTCTTTCACTTTTGACTTTATACGTTCGCTAATACAAACGGTATTCCACAAATTTAACAATCAGTAAGGTTGCTTTTTGCTTTTGTGAGAATAATCTACATAATCCTTACGAATAATCTGCATGTTTGGACTGCTTATTTTTAATATCAATTTTACACAAGGTCTGAACTCTGAAGTATTCTGTTGTCTGAAGAGAGCTATTTTGGTAGTATGACAAACCCGGAAGTTTAAAAACGTCACAAAATATAAAACCGGTTTTGCAAGTTCTCAAACGGCAACGTCAGCATGGAAGAGAGATTTGTATCGCGTGCCACCAGAGGTTCTCTTCGCCTCGCGTAAAATAAATACGAGCGGGAATAAGGCGAAAGATACAGAACCTCTGGCAACCAGGGTATTTTTTGCCCCGCAAAGCGCACTTTTCGAAACTTGAATTTATGTTATTTTCCGGAATATTTTTTTCATTTTTTGGTATTTCGGGAAAATTTTTTTCATATTTAGGAAAGTTGGATGTATCCGGACAAATTTTTTTTGTATGTCCGGATATAATTTTTGAGACCTTATGTTTTCACAAGGGTGATGAGTGACTGAGGCTAGAATCATGGTAGCAGGATAGGCTGATATCAAAAGTGGCGACAAGGAGTCAGACTGCAATAAGTATACAATAAAATTATACTAGAATACTTTATAGTAGACGTAATTTTCAGTTTGCATCATCAACCTGCAAAATTCCTGTAAACCTGCAAAATTCCAACCTGCAAAATCCCCAACCTGCAAAATTCCAACCTGCAAAATTCCCAACCTGCAAAATTCCAACCTGCAACCTGCAACCTGCAACCTGCGTTTTGTACCTGCCGGTCTTCATGGAAAAGTTCGATAGTTTTTTCGAATACCTTAATTAACATTTCGGAATCAACTTTGCAGAGTATGAAAAAGAAAACAACTTGAAAGAAAACGACTATTCAAATATAAGGGCTGGTAAACTAAAAATAAAAATTCCTTATATGGATAAACATTATAAACGTTCATTTCACATGCACATGTACACGCACGCTAACAGCTGCTTAATAATTAACTTACGTATTTGTAAACATCAGTCGATAAATAAAATGGTAGATTAATATGGACAAAATGGATCAAAACCTCTGAAAACAGCAGTTGTAGTTCCAATTCTTTTGGGGAATTTAGTAGCAAATATAATCCTTAAATAGCTCATCGATTTGTATATGTTAGCGCTAAAGTCAAACGGCCGGGTCGTAGATCACGTTGAATAATGATCTGAAGTTACCATGCAACCGTCAACAATGTCTCAAAATACTGGATGTTTGATGTTTTTTTACAAATATACCGGGATTTCTGGACCACTTTTAAACTTAGCAAAGCGAAAAGTCCCCATTCAAGAATATGTTTTTTCTCAAAAGGTAAAATACTTAGAATACTTGATTAAATTGTTTACTTCGACGGTGTATAAATTAACAGCGTTTGACTTGCAAGACGTCAAAAACGGACGATTTCAACGCGCTGTCGTTTATCGCGTATTCATTTGCCAAAAGAAGTATTTTCGTCAATTGAAAGCTTGCTTATTAAAGAGCCAACTAGTAGAAGCATGATCGATTTTGAGCTTTATCGCATGGTGAAAATCGGTTTTGTTAAGAGGGTATCGTAAATGAAGTAAGATAGTGTGCTCCAAAACTACGATAATTTCTATTCCTAAAAGTAACTCAGATTTCCTGTAAATCATGTACACAGTCCTTTGAATAACCGGAAACAAGATTTTTAGGGTTTTAGATCGATTAGAAACGGTTGTCGTCGTGAAATTTATCTGTAAAATCAGCGCATATTTTCCCAGAAAAAATGGCGATTTAGGGTGGTCGTGTTAAAACGGCATTTTCTCAAAGTTAAAAAAGCATTTGACCTAAAAAAATATATGGTGCATTTTCCGATATAATAAGGTATATCTGGGCAAAATTTGAGCAAAATCGATTTTTCAGTCGTGGCCGCTTTATGTTTGATTTTTGTGGACATCCTCTCTTAAGCGAGTAGTATGATTTTCGTAGTCGATTTTGAGATTTTAACGCTAAAACATGAGGAATATGCGCATATTTATGCTAATAGCTACTATTTTGCCAACTTCAAAATTCTTTAACTCAAAACCTTTTCAGTCCAAAATTTTTAGTCCAACATAGTAATTTACTCGCCAAAATTTTAAATTCTCAAATTATGGGCTATCAAGCGAATCTCGTACCAAGAGTAATACGGCTCTCGTTACGAGATTTTTATCAAGCCAAAATCACAGGTTCCAACATATATGGTCTTGTTCACCAATGTTTCGGCTATAAGAAAATGCCAGTTGGCAGCTTGTAACAAATAAATGCCACCAAAGTGTGACTTTCAGAGAGTTGGCCGGACCTTTAATATAATCCTGATGAAGAACATTCAAAGAAAACCGACTCGACTAACACATAAGGTCTTTTGCAAATTCGTAGATAATTATAACTATGTCAAAAAATTCAATTCATTTAATTGTCCAATATTATTACAAAGCACCTGTTGAAAGACATGACTGATTTGCACTGGTTAAACATGACTGATTTGCACTGGCTAAAAAAGTGGGCAAATTACATCATGCATGTTCTCTAACAGAAATTCTGATGTTAATTGGTTATTCTAACTCAATTAATCGTGTTCTTTAATTTTATAACTTGTATTTACTCGAACCATCAGTGTTAGTATAGATATATCGCTACTACAACTAGTTATTTTGTTCTTGTTTCAAGAATATTTGCTCTGTACTTCGAGAGATAATTGGCAAACGTTCTTTAGACTTTGTATAAATTCCAGTTGGTCATAACTGTCGCTTGTAGCTTGGCTCTTCTGTCCAAAAAGTTTTAACCTGATATCAAGTGCCTCTTGACATGACTCCAGAGCAGAATCATAATCTTGCATTTCGCACTGACATTCTGCAATGCTGAAGTAGCTTTTAGCGGCGGTTGTGTGTTCCTTTCCATAGAGCGCCACCCTAATATCCAGGGCTTGCTGGTGCCAATGCAGAGCTGAATCGTACTCTTTCAAGCGATACTTTGTCACTCCAATCTGATTACAAGCGAAGGAAACGTCTGGGTGGACATTCCCATGAAGATTTTGACTGATGTCAAGTGCTTGCTCGAACGATTGCAGTGCTGACTTGTAATTTTTTTTTTCAAACTGGGTAAGTCCAATATGATAATAGCTGTCCGCAGTATCTGCATGGTTGTACCCATAAAGCTTTAGTCTGATATCAACTGCCTGTTGATGTGACTCCAAAACAGAATCATAATCTTGCATTTGGTACTGACAATCTGCAATCCAAGAGTAGCTTGTGGCGGAGGATGCGTGTTCCTTTCCATACAGCGCCACGCTAATATCCAGGGCTTGCTGGTGCCAATGCAGAGCTGAATCGTACTCTTTCAAGCGATACTTTATCACTCCGATATCACGACAAGCGAAGAAAACGTATGGGTGGATTTTCCCATGAAGATTTTCTCGGATATCAAGTGCTTGCTCGAACGATTGCAGTGCTAACTTGCAATTTTTGTTCTCAAGTTGGGTTCTTCCAATCTGGTAATAGCTGTCGGCGGTATCTGCATGGTTGTGCCCATAAAGCTTTAGTCTGATGTCTAGTGCTTCGTAATGACATGTCAAAGCACCGTCATAATTCTTCTGTGTGTATAAAATTAATCCAATGTTATAGTACCTTGCGGCTGTATCCGGGTTTAGCCGACCATATTCTCCTATAAAATTATCAAGAGCGAGCTGCATCGCTGCTGGACTCTCTTGCTCTATTTTTACATGTGGCAGGGTGGTTTGAACGACGAAGAGTAGTGGCAAGTATAGACGGTCGTTCTGTGCTTCCGCTTCGATTTCTTTCTGTAACTTGGAGACGGGCAAACCAAGTTTAAACATTACATCCTTCATGTCATAGGATTCCACAATGTCGTTGATGAGAAGAGCAAGCGGCAAAATAAGTGGTTGACTTACAGCTTTTGGGTTTTCATGCTCATTCTCGTCAGCGCAATCATCTTCTTGTATAGCTTTGAAGAAAGCATACAAGGATGGTCTGTTAGCGCATTCAGTTAAAACAATGTTCCTGTAGTAGGAAGACTTTTGTGCGTGAGAAGTAATCAAAGCAAGTATCTGGGAGCATAAAACTTTAAGTACAGTATTTTCAGAATTCAACAGAGATATCCCTGTTTCAATCATTTTGCCTCCTTTCGCTATCGCTTTATGAATTAGCAACTGAATACCATGGTAACACATTCGTTTTCCCATGGCAACTTCTGAAGGAAGGAGAGGACTTTGCTTCTCTATTTCTTCAGCCTCTTTTAGTAATGGCAATGCAGCTCCATTATAGCAATTTATCTCAGCAAA